GTGGCCAGCTCAGCCCACCAGGGGGCGGGGCTGGCTGGCATGTGGTGCTGGGGGATTGAACCGCGGTCCCTGTGCTTTGCTAAGCTTGTTCTAAGTAAGTGCTTTAGACCACTGAGCCATCTCACCAGCCCCAAAATAAATAAATTTTTTTTAAAAAAGAAAAAAAAATCTAGTGATCACTGTCCTTATAAAATTGAGGACACACAGAGACAGACACACAGGGAAGAAGGCCACACAAATACAGAGGCACAGACCAGGGTGGTGGTGGTGAGCCCCTGGTATGCACGCTGCAGCATACTGTTTCTACCACTGAAAGTTCTAAAATGGTCACCACTGGGCTGGTGAGATAGCTCATCAGTCAAGTGCCTGCTTAGGCAAGCTCAGGCAAGCGCAGCGACCACATGGCACACTGGCCCCATCCCCGGGGAGGGCTGAACCAGTCACAAACAAATGAAATAAAATATTCACCATCACTGGACTATGGTGACAGAGCTACGAGCTAAAGGATGCCTAGGGCCACCAGAAGCAGAAGAGGCAAGGGAACACTCTCCTGCAGAATCTTGAGAGGGATTGCGGCCCAGCTGACACCTTGATTTTGAATACATGGCAGCCCTAGGAAATTAATACACACAGCAGTTCATAACAATACTTAATTACTTGTAATTTTAGGCCCAGATCTATGAGCCTTTGCAAATATTTTGTTCTTTTCTTTTTTTTTTTTTTTTTGGCAGAACTGGGGATTGAACTCAGGCCCTTGCACTTGCCAGGCAAGTGCTTATTCTGCTGAGCAATCTCCCTGGCGCCAATATTTTATGTTCTACCTGAATTCCCTTCTCAAATTTATCTGCTTGAAAATTGTCTCTTTTTCTCTCTCTATTGTGATACTGGGGGCTGAGCCCAGGCCCTCACATTACACAAGCAATCCACCACTGAGCAATGTTCCCAGTCCTACTGCCTACATCTCTGAGGTACTTCATAAAACCCCTTAGAAGATAACAAATAGTCCGCCCACTGTGTCCACGGAGAGAGACTGAGGGTTCTGAGGTCCTGCCCAAGGGACCTGGGCACCTGGACGGTGAAGATGTTGGCTTCCTTAGTCTGAGCCACCGTCCGGGCTGTGAGCAAGAGGAAACTGCAACCCACCTACGCTGCCCTCACGGTGACACCGTCTGCCATAAATATAAAACAACTTCTTAAAGATAAACCTGAGCATGTAGGTTTGAAAGCTGGCATCCGAACCAGAGGCTGTAATGGCCTTTCTTACACTCTAGAATACACAAAGATTGCTGAGTTAACATAGCAAAGGAGATTCTGATGAAGAGGTTGTTCAAGACAGAGTCAGTGTTCATCAAAAAGAAAGCACAGCTGACACTTCTAGGAACAGAAATGGACTATGTTGAAGACAAATTATCCAGTGAGTTTGTCTTCAATAACCCGAATATCAAAGGAACTTGTGGCTGTGGAGAAAGCTTTAATATTTGAAATCTCAGGACTCTTCTGGCTGTGAAACCCTGGGAAGCTTCCAGGAGCCTTGGAGCTTACTGAAGAAATCACATGATTGTCAGTGCCTAAGGCTTATGATGTGTGGCCACCAGGTGGGGAAATAAAATGATGTTATTTTGAAAATGAAGCCAGTGTGTTAGATTCCAGAAGTGATGTTTATATTTATCATGGCAGAGGGGTAGGAAATGAAAAGCCATCGCCCTCTTTGGACTGCTGATTGTTCTGTAAAGAAGATGAACTCTGCCCTGCACTTAAGTCTTGCATACTTGTAAGAACCAGTTTCATGAAAATTGCCTTCCGGTGAAGAGTTGAGGAAGTGGGAGAATTGGTGTCCACTCCTTGGCTTGTTAGCTTGCTTCTCTTCAGCATTTTGCCACCCTTCCTGATGGTTTCTAAAATTCAGAAGCCACATGTCCTGCCTGCTACTGGTAACTTGATGGCATATTTTCTACCCAAATTTGGCAGAGCCTCTTCCTCTTTCTTGAGAAAGGATGGCCCTGCACTCCTGCCTCACCCCCCGGCGTCACTGGACTGATTACACGTGTGCACCACTATACCGGTTTCCTTGGGCTTTTTACATTTTTTTTCAAAATGTCATTGTCAAATGCTTCATTTGTGTGGTCTTGCACTGTACCACAGGGTAGTTCTGCAGGGAGGTAGCAAGGTGAGAAAGACTTCGTCTTATTTTTCACCCATTTCTTTTGCTGTGCTGCAAGCCTCCTCAAAGCAGGAAGTTTTTTACAAGCTGTAGCCCACCACCCACCTAAGCTTGGTGTACCAGAAACATAACCTCAGGGGAGCCTAAGGCTTGCGTCTACACCACGCTACAAGCCAGAGGAGAGCTGGCACTGTGTCCGGGTCCCCCATCCACATAAGGGACCGCTCTGTCTACCCAGTCAGCAAAGCTGATTGGTGTCTGGCTTCTTCACCTAACAGCATTTGGATAGTTTCTGCTAATTTAATAAAGATCATACTAGTTTTTTTTTTTTTAATTTTATTCATTTATGTGTGTGTGTGTGTGTGTGTGTGTGTGTGCGTGTGTGTGGCCAGCTCAGTCCACCAGGGGGCGCAGATGGCTGGCATGTGGTGCTGGGG